CAGATATGGCACAGAGTCAAATTGTTACAAACAACACACACACACACACACACACACACACACACACATTTACAATCCCAGATAGACACATAGAAACATGTATGGACATTGACACACAGCCACACTCTTATGCTTTCTATCATCCCGTGGCCATTCACGTTCTCTCACAACATCTCAGCTGATGCTTGCTTCCCCAGTACAAAACTGTCTTTGATGTCTTCATGGGCCTCACTATGCTTGAAGTCTCTGGAGGCAGGAACATATCTTGTTCGTTCAGTGCCTGGCTTGGCACATGTGGCTAACACAGAGCCTGGCTGAGAAGAACGTATTGCAACAAGCAGGATGGAGGAAGAGACTGAGCAGCAGCCCAACCTCATGCCTCCTGAGAGACCTGAGCAGCCCTGCAGGTTCCCATAATATATGCAAAGACATAGACACACTATAAATGACACCCTCACCATTCCTGAGCACTTACCTCTCAGTTTATACAGGAAGTTGGTTCTGAGAACTTCCTTGCTCATCCCCAATTCCTCTGATACTCACACAGAAGCTGGTGTGTGACCCACACATGCCCTCCTGTGTCCTTCCAGTCACCCTCATCTATAGTTCCTAAGGGAAAATCAAGGCTGTGGGAGCCATTGCTATACACATTGCTCGTGGGAGGAGGACAGAGCGAAAGTTTTGCCTAGTACAGATGCAGTTGTTCCTCCCTAACGTTGACCACCACTGTGTAACTTGTGAGGGAAGCCATGCTCCAGAGGGCTGACTGGAATGTTACTAAGGCTGTTTTCCACTTTTACCAGTGAAAACGGAACCGCAGTGTTTAAGTTTTGGCTTTAGGGAAGCCCACGGAATGAAGGTGTGAAAGCTATCTGTTCAGGGCTTGTAAACTTGCCCTCAGACATTCTAGGCTTGTCTCTGCGGAAGACTCAGTGCTATTGCTTATCAAACAGATTTTTTTTTTCTTGCCAGATTCTTGGGGGGTGAAACGCACAATCTGAATTTGCCTTTATTCTCTTACAGCTTCTGAAACCACCATCCCCAGAACTGGTAAGTACTTTGAAAAGATGGGCCTGTATCAATGTATAATTTTCCCTGTGTGGTATCATACATTAATCCACTGAACATTAATGAATGATATGAGGCTGGAATATATAATCTGTGTCCCATGTAGACATGGAATGACAACAGAAACTTCTGTCATGCATAGCATAAAGGGTCCTGTGGTAAAACATTTCCTGTCTTCAATTTTATGTTGTCCCTGCCTCGCCTTTCAGTATGTGCGAGAATCAAATAGAATAGCTGAACTTAGGTCTTAGGTTCACTCTCTTCCTTCAAGAAATTCTGACTTGGAGACGTAGCGTGGTCTCAGGGCCCTGTGCTTTGGTGGATGATTTGTAAGGATAATGTGCCCTCCCCCACACTTTGGGAGAACTTCTGCTTGACCCCAGACCAGTCAGGCTTCAGTATTAGGAATGTTAGAGGAGCATTAGTTTGCTAAGACTTCACAAAGAAGAAAAGTATGTGCACATTTCATTTGTTTATTTACTTTTTTGAGACCCATGTAGCCCAGGCTGGCCTCAGACCTGCTGGGCAGGCCAGGCTACCCCTGGACTCCTGATCATTTTGCCTGTAGTTTCCAGGTTCTTGGATTCCAGGAGTGTGCCACCATGCCCTTGTTCATCATATCTAAAATGATGTATACTTCAGCTCCAATCCACTTGCTTTTATCTCCTTTTGAAAAAAAAAATCATTTTTGTTAAGACCTTGGACAGTGCACATAGCTGAGACTGAACCACAAATTCCCTCCTCCCGACTCCCGCTGGCAGGAGTATTCAGTACAGTTGAGGCTAATTTTGTACCCTGTATGAGAACATTTCTAAACACAGGATCCTTTTCTAAACTGAGCTTTGTCTTTCTTAAGGTTGGTGGAACCCAGAGGAGTCAACTAGCGGTAAGGCCTTCTCCTTTGCTCTTGTCTCTGGCTGTAGGCTACCTATGGGATGGGGGGAGGGGTCTAGTTTGCTGTTGATAAAACACTGGCCATAAGCAACTTGGAGGAGGAGATGTATGTTTGGCTTACATCATCCAGTGAAACCAGGGCAGGAGCCTGTGGCAGGAGATGGAGGCAGGAGCTGAGGCAGAGGCCAATGAGGAGCCCTGCTTACTTAAGGAGTTCTGGCTCATGCTTAGCTAGTGTCTTTACACAGCACAGTTACCTGCCCAGCAATTGACCTGCCCTGGCAATTATTAGTCAAGACAATTCCCCACAGACAATTCTGACCTGGGCAAATCCCCAATTAAGATTCCTCCAAAAGACTCGGCTGTGCCAAGTTGACAGCAGAGTTAACCAGCGCTGGTGCTGCTGCTCTCTCTGGAGGAATCCAACTGCAGCCTTGGGCACAGAAATCAGGGATGGAATGGAGATGAGAGATGTGGGTGTCAAGCTGGTGGGCACACTCCACCAATCCCCACACTTCACCTCATTCTTCTCTCTGTACTTCCGTCACTTGATGGATGAACTTACCTTTAGCCTAGTGTCAAAGAGCTAGTTGAAAAGTCACCGTTTCTTCCTTCATGCAACAGAGCCATTTTTGGAAAGGCAAACGACCCCATCAAAGCTAAAAAGCATGCTATACACCCCAAGCCAAATCACTAGAAAGATGGTTCTGTTGTTAGGAGCACGCTGCTTTTGCCGAAATCCCGAGTTTAGTTTTAAGCACCCAGATTGGGTGGGTAAGCTTATAACCACCTATGACTGAAGTCCCAGCAGCTCTGACACCCTCTTCGGGCCTCTATGGACACCTGTACTGATGTACACATATCCACTCACAGGTACACACACACACACACACACACACACACACACACACACACACACACACTATAAAAAAATATTGGAAAAACATTGCAGATTCTCAATGCTCAGCTAATACAGGTAATACGTGCTGTAATCACAAAACCTTCCTGCCCAGGACTCCAGGGGGAGCTTTATGACCCACTGGCCAGTAAGGTTGGCAGTTTTCTAGGGGAACATTCACAGAGTGACCAGCAGAGGGCAGCAGGATGGGCTCCTTCAGACCCAGAATGCACCTTGGGAATATCTTGGAATGCTCAGTTGGCCTTTGCCAACCCGCACCTCACTCCTCTGAAGATCTGACCCCCTCACCTTGCATCCACCCCAGCTACCACTCTCAGACCACAGAGTTCTCACAGCCTCAAAGCAGCCACAGAGAAGCCACATCCAGGATCCAGAGCCTGCCATCAGCATGCTGAACCTGTTTCTTCCTGCTACCACACACTTGTTGCTGGTTTCTTCTCAAACCAGCACACATTTTCACTGAGTGACTTAGGGGCAGCACACCATGCAGAAACATGCTGCCTGCTGACTGTCCCAGTAATGTTCATCATTACAATGAAGAACAGGCTGGAGAGGGAGAGGAAAGACTTCTGTTAGATGAATACCATTGCACCCTTGATCCTGATGAAGATGGAGAGGATGCAGAAACACTCTTTGTGTGTGTGTATGTGTGTGTGCTCATCGTGTAGTCCTGGCTGGACCGGAACTCCTTATGTAGACCATGTTGACCTTGATTTTCAAAAACCTACCTGGTCCTGCCTCAGGAGTGCTGGCATTAAAGGTGTGAGCCACAATTCCTGTCCAGTGATGAAGCACTTTGGACAGGGAAATGACTAAAATATATAGGTATTTTGTTAAGACAAAGCCAAGGACCAACCAGCAGACACAGATGAGGCCCCAGGACAGCCATGCGCTTGGAGCATGGGCTTCAGAGAGGCTGGGCAGGTCAGTGATAAGCAGCATCAGATAGGAGCTAGGCAGAGGTAAAGTTGAATGGGGAGGTCACAGAGCTGGGCAGGTTCAGGAAGAGAGAGGTATAGCCTGTTGAGTGAGCCTTGGTGAGAGCTGGGTATAGAGGTGGAGAGGAGGCATCAAATGTCGCAACCAACCCAATCCTCTTGCTGCTGTTCATGGTGGCATCATGGATCCCAGTGGAGGAGGGAGGCTGAGTTTGGAGTGGTAGACTTGGATATCCCCGTGGCTGATGGGAAGATAGTCTAGAGTTGTGCATGGGACCATCAGGACTATTTTCGGACTGAAGAGGTGACTTTGAGATACCCTTGTCTGGGATGATTCCAGAGGATGTGGGGTAAAGGAGAATGGGAAGCCTATAAAGAAAGTAATATTTCTTCCTGGGGTGAGGAAGGATCACACTGGAGGTTAGGGGAGGAAGGGGGCATAAGGTGGCGCCTGCCGAGGGTACAGAAGCCACAGAGCCCAGCATGCCAAGAGAGCAGTTCCCACTGTGTCGATGCAGGTTTGAACCTGAGGCTGGTGAATGGCGGTGACCGGTGTCAGGGCCGGGTTGAGGTCCTGTACCAAGGCTACTGGGGCACCGTGTGTGACGACAGCTGGGACATGCAGGATGCAGATGTCGTCTGTCGACAGCTCGGCTGTGGCCACTCTGTATCAGCACCAGGAGGGGCCCACTTTGGTCAGGGCTCAGGGAACATTCTCTTGGGAGCTGTACACTGCTCAGGATGGGAACCGTACCTGTCCAGCTGTCAGCACGATGGGTGGTACAACCATAACTGTGGCCACAGGGAAGACGCTGGAGTCGTGTGCTCAGGTAGTGCTGCTCTTGCCTCGGTACACTCTGTTGCACGGACACTCTGTGGCAACACTGTGCTTCTTTGTGCATGTGTGCATGTACGTACACAGCACGTGGCTGCATGCTTGCTCTGCAGGGTCATGCCTTATTTGATGTGAGGGCCTGGATATCTCAGTCTCTTTCCATAGATCATGACATGGAGGTTCTGAGCAAGTCCCAAACGTGGAGGTGATGAAGGCAGGTGTTAGCCTCTATCTCCTCAGGGCTCACTGATACCATCACCCGGTAGAATGGCTCTGATGAGTGGCATCAAGATCGTCCTTGACCTAAGGGCAGTTTTTCTATTTTCAAAGGCAGAAGAGAACGAGGCAGCTGATGGTCCTCACTACCCAATTGTATAAACCAAACTCAATGCAAATAGTGGTAGATACATTCTCTCTATTGGGGATTAAACATGATAAACCAAAAACACACCGTCATGGGGATGACAAATTCACCCTGATCTAAAAAAATGGTTTGGGCCGATCCCAAAAAATGATTTCTCATTGTTTTTATGATGCTGGCACCTGCTCAAATACCAAGGCATCCTCTAATCTACAAAGAAGCCACCCAGGATTCCAGTCCCTTGTGTGTCCCCAAAAGGATTGCTAGGTTAGCCATTGATAGGCCGTTTTTTTATAATGTGGATGGAGCACATGTCACAGAAAACAAGGTTCAAACCCCGCCTGAGAATGGTGCTTGAAGAAGCCACTTTATTAGGAATATTTTAGTGATGGCAAATGTTTATAATGAGAGGTTGTGTTTGAACTACAGAAATAGCCAGATGACTTTTGAATTCAAATGCCATATGGCTATTTCCAATCTTGTGCCTAGGTTGGGGCTGCTGGTGAAAGGGGTGGTGGACAGGATGGAGCAGAAGCAGAGATAAAGTAGAGTGAGTGACAAAAGACCCTCTTGATGACACCTCAGTGGCAAAGTAACAGAAAGATCAGTAGCAGAATCCACAGGGTTATCGCATTTAAGTGATGGATGGACTTTAGCATGCAGGATTCCAGCGCTTGTTTCTGGGATTCCTCAAGTGAGGACCTACATCCTCATGACTTCTTTTCTCTTTTTGCATATGTCTTCTACATGCCTGAAGAAGCCTCACGGATGACCACAGAAGGTAAGATGTGGTATCTCTGTGGCCTTATTGTGCCCAGAACCCACAGGCTCATCTCTGGTCCAGAAGATGGACAGAAGGCAGAGCATGTGGGGTCCTAAGGAATTTCTCAAGAAGGCTTCAAGCCTGGATGGACATATATTCCATCAATTATATTCCTGAGACGTTGAAGTTTCGGGGGGATCAGCCTGAAGAGGCTTCTGCAAGAGGCTTCAAGTTGGTCTTGTTTCTAGGAGGTCTATTACCATTGTCAGTGCCCTGAGGACCCCAAGTTTCTTCCAACAACTTGGCATCCCAGAAAGCCTAGTCTCTGAATTCAATGGCTGAAGAGGAAAGCAAAAATCTGCTTACCCAACATTTTTGTCATTTCCTTCCCTCTGAAACAATATAAAGCTACCATGGATGCCATGACCCTCCATCCTGGGACACCAAGATCCTCTTCCAGCTCCTGAGCTCCTCCAGTGAGAGATGGGCCTGTATCAGTGTGTGAATTCCCCTATGTGGTATCATACATTGATCCACTGAGCATTAATGAACGATATGAGGCTTAAATACGTAATCTGTGTCCCAAGTAGACATGGAGTGACAACTGAAACTTGTGCCATCTATAGCATAAAGGGTCCTGTGGTAAAACATTTGCAGTCTTCAATTTTATGTTGTCCCTGCCTCGCATTTCAGGGTTTGTCAGAGTGCAACAGATTATCTAATGCAGGTCTTGGGTTCACCCCTTCCCTCAGGAAACTCTGACTTGGGGAACTATTGTGGGCTCCTGGATCTGTGTTTGGCAGATGATCTGTAAGGCTAACGTGCCCTCCTCCATACTTTGGGAAAAAATCCTGCTTGATCCCAGAGTAATCGGCCCTTGATATTAGGAATATCAGAGGACCATTAGTTTGCTAAGACTTCACAAAAAGGAAAAGTATGGACAATCTTGGTTCATGTTTTCTTTTCCTGAAAGTCATACAGGCCATGCTGGCCTCAGGCTTGTTCTGTAGACAAGACTGCCCCTCAACTCCTGATCTCCTGAAGTCCTCTTGCCTATAGTCCAGGTTCTTGGATTCCAGCATTGATTGTGCCACCATGCCCAGCTGCTGTTTATTATTTCTGTTAAAGTAAAAAAAAAAGAAATGAGCTAAGCATGTTAACAACAACAACAACAGCAACACACACACACACACACACACACACACACACACACACACACACATTCACCAGACATCCAGTCCCTCACACACGTTTTTCTAGCACTCAGGAGTCTTAGTTTGAGGATATTAAGTTTCCATCTAACCAAGGGTACATACACAGATATTGAATTTGTAAAAACATCCACACACCAAAATAAAGCAAACAGGCATTCTAGACCTCTGCCCGTGAATATTATAGTGGCTCTCTCAGCTACTGCAATTAGATAAGAAGAGTTAATTAGCTATTTACGTGTGGAAACATTAATTTTGAGTTGATTTTCTAGAGCTCAGCACGACTTAACTGTAGGCAAGTTGGAATTAGGGTGTGTAGTTTAGGACATTTCCTACAACAATAGCCTTTTAGGTCTGGAGAAGTCAGGACTACACAGATCCTAACTGGTCTCAGTCACAGGGCATTCCCCAGCACGGACCCTGCGTGCCGTCCCATCAGCAGGTTTCACTGTACTGGCGTGTGTTGGTTTTCCTGCATGGAGACTTAACGGAATGTTTCCCATTTCTCTCTCTTCTATGTATGGACAGCAGAGACGACGACTCCACCGC